TATATAACTTAACATTACATTCTGGAGAACCAGAGAGCTTTCAGAGATGATTTTTTGCAAAACTGAGTATAAAATGTTTTTCTAAATCTAGTTAGATTAAGAAGTGGAGGTGAGAAGAAAACATGCTATATTCACATAGTGGGCATTTGGCAAATACTTGATGAGTCAATGGTGATGACAGAATCCCCAGATTAGATTTCTTTTCTGTGCTAAGGATCCAGTTTTCATGAGTTACAAATGACTTCTACCTGTATAGACACTTGCATCTGAAATAATTTATCCAAGTCCAAAATAAGCAGCTCATCAATGTATTTCATTAACATGTAAAAGTACTAGCTGAGATATTTATTATGCAATATTATGTATAGAATGCTCCACTTACTCAATCTGATTGATACAAATATGGGATACTATCATATCCAGGAGGTAAGTGAGGTAAGTGCTTAACTTAAAATCCTATTTTTCTATTTAAAAGAAAAAAATTCCCTAGAGTTTGTGCACTCATCAGAGAAAGAGAGAGAAGAGAAAGGAAGAGAGAGAGAGAGAACCCCCTCACACACATCATCCTTTCTTCTTCATTTCTTCCTCGTTTTGATGTTTTAGGCAGGCATGCACCCACAATCAGCATGTTTTTCAAGCGACCAGCTCCAGGACTTGAACCATGAAGTCAGCCATGTGGGATCCAGCCACCTTAACTATTACAATACTGGTTGGCCCTAAGATCCTACTTGTAAAAACTAATTAATCTTCTTTAATTGAACATATTATCATATTAATATGAAAAATATTAATGTTTAAGATTTATTTATTTACCTTCAAAAGTATTTTGCTTCATTTTTTCTTTCTTTTTTTTTTTTTTGAGAGTTTTTTGTTACAGAGCGTGTGCATTCACCAGAGAGACAGAGCGAGACAGAGAAACAGGAAGTGAGAAATTCCCCCTCAGGAGGGATGGCTATGCCACAATCCCTTCTCCTCTATTCTCCTCTCGGGATCTTGGGCATGCATGCACATGTGCATGGTGTGAGTTTAAACCACTGGATCCGGAACTCGAACCATGGTCGACTACATGGGAATCCAGTGACTTAGCCATTACGCCAACTGCTGGTCCCTTGCTTCATGTTTTATTTTATTTATCAGATTGGAAATATTCTTAAAGTAATTTTCACATGATTAAGGGCATGAATTTATTTTATTGTGTATATTTAAGGTATACAACATGAAGTCTTGCTGTACTTAACTTACATACATAGTGACATGATTACTATAATCAAGCAACTTAATATAGACATAATTTCACGTGCTTAATCTTTCTATTTTGATGGTAGCAGGACAGAAAATCTATTCTCTTTATAAAACCTAAAATACAATGCAATATTATTAAGTATAGTCCTCAAGTTTTATACTAGATCTCTAAACTTGTTCATCATAAGTTATCTGAAACTGTATCCATTGAGCTACTTCTTCATATTTTGGCCTACACTTGATAACCATCGTTTTATTTTCTATTTCAATGTATTTGACTTTTTTCCTGTCTTGATTTCACATTTAAGCGAGATCATAGATCTTTCAATATTTTTTCTGTGTCTGGCTTATTTCATTTAGCATAATGCCTTCCAATATTATCCATGTGGTGGCAAACGGAAAGGATTGCTTTTCTTTTTTAAGGCTAATATCCCATGTATCTATATGTGTGTACATGTCTAAATATAGTGTGTATACACACAAACACACACACACACACAAAGAAACTTTAAAAAGTTTGTGGAAAATGTAAAGAATAAATTTATCTTTGTGCAAAAAAAATTTTAAATCTTGTATAAATTTTTCATAATATGGGGACCAGCAGATGGCATAATGGGTACATTGCTGGACTCTCATGCAGTTGACCGCAGTTTGAGTCCTGGACCTGGTGGCTTAAACTCACACTGGGCACGTGTGCATGTGTGCCCAAGATCCCAAGAAGAGAATGGAGAATGGTTTGTGGTGTGGCCAAACCCCTGGGGGGTGATTTCTTGCTTTCTGTCTCTCTGTCTTTCTGGCAAGCACACATGCCCTATAGCAAAAACCTCTCCCCCAAAAAACATTTTATAATATGTATTTGCCATGAACTTGTTGAAGACCCCCCCCATATGTGTGTATGTGTGCGTATAAATAATGTGCGTCTGTGTGCATGATATAGTCACAATTTTCTTCATGCATTCATCCCTTGGCAGATAACATATGTTGCTTCCTTGTCTTGGTTATTGTGAACAATACTTCAGTAAACATAGGCGTGCAGATATCTTTTCAAAGCAGTAATTTCATTTCTTTGTATATATACCAGTTCATATACACAATGTAGTACTACTCAGTCATTTAAAAAAAAAAACACAAAACAGCAAGAATCTCTCGTTCAAAACAAAGTAGATGGATCTAGATTTAATGTTAAATGAAATAAGCCAGACTATGAAAGACAAATACTGTATGTCCACATTCAATATATACTGAATATCTGCACTCTATGGCAGAAACTGAAAGATTTGAAGACATGGAGGTAGAGAATGTAACTATAGATATCAGAGACTGCATGGCAGGTGGAAGTATTTGAGAGGGGGCTCAGGAAAAAAGCATATAACAGAGATAAGAATGCACATAGAGGGGGTAAATGGGTTGTTGAATGCATACTATAGCAGCAAAAAAAAAAAACAAAACTGTTGACAAAAGCCTTTTGGGTGTACTTCCTTTCTTTCCTTTCTTTTCTTTCCTATTAAACCTTCTTTTCTATCTACTTCATTCGTGGTTGCGGTTTCACTTTGCGTCTAGAGACAGATCTCTAATTTTAGTGATCTGGACCCAAAGAACCAAGGATTTCACAACGCAGCTTAACATTCTCTCATCCATTAACATAATGGCTATTTTGAATAATACTTCAATAAACATAGGAGTGCAGATATTTAATCCATTCTGTTCTATTGTTTTTTTTTTTTTTTTTTTTTTTTTTTTTTTAAGAGATTGTTGCTATAGGGCACATGTGCTTGCTATAGAGACAGAAATACAGAAAGTGAGAACTCATCCCTCAGGGGAGATGGCCACACCACAGTTCTTTTTCCACTCTCCTCTCTGATTTTGGGTACCCTCACACATGCACCTAGCATGAATTTCAAGCAGCTAGTTCTGGCCTTCGAACCTTGGTTGGCCATGTGGAAGTCTGGTGATGTAACCATTTCACCATCTTCTGGTCTGGAGGAGTATGGGTTTTAAGAAAGACTTTCTGAGTTCAGAAATCAACTCCACATACAGAAAATTTATTAATTTCTCTTTCTTAATAATAATGATAGCAATAACATTTATAAATAACAATACTAATATATAGTTTATGATTACATATTAAATGAGTATCTAAATATAAAAGTATTATAGAATAGAGACTGACATATAGTGTACACTATGTAACTACAACTGCTCATTTTTATTAAATATTGCTGTATCTTCACATTAATTTATAATTTATTAATTTGTTTAAGTAATTATTAATGATTTAATTAGGTAGTTTTTATAGTACTTTGTACATAGTAAGGGATAAACTTTTTTATGATTACTTATTTTAATCTTATTTATTATTATTATTATTATTATTTTAATTTGCTATCGGGCATTTGTGCTCACCAGAGAAAGGCAGAGAGAGAGAGACAGAGATAGAAAGCAAACTGCCCGGTCTGGGACTTAATCTGTACACAGCCATGTGGAAGTTCTGTGCCTTAACCACCATACCAATCACTGTCTCTGGTGAAATACTTTTTAAGTAATGAAATAATTTTTACCTCTTCCACATATGTATTGTATTTTGTTTTTTTTTAAAGAAAAAATATTTTTAAAAGTTTTGTTTATTCACTTCTTCCATAAGTGAGAGAGAAACAGAAAAAGAGAGACTCCCTCAACAGAGTGTCAACAGAGTGTCAGTCTGTTGAGGGTATTTCAGCCTCCCAGCCAGCCCCAGATCTTAGGCACGCATGTGTTTGATGTACTCAGGGAAGTCTTCTGACATGAACCTTAAAATTTTCCATGTAGATCAGCTTTGCAGAGTGACTTGTTTCACTGCTGTGCCACCATCTGACCTCAAGAAATTAACAATATTAATAATGGTGATAGCAGATGAGGCCTAAGATATTTTCCTGACCATGCCTCCCTCTAAGACTTTAGGATTTGAATGAAAGGGGAAGTAAAAGACTTTAAATCACTGCTAATAGTAACTTATCTGTTGAGGGTTATTGCAAAAATGAGAAGTTGACCAGTATGTATTTTGTAAAAGCTGAGTAATTTATACTTTTCCTAGCATGATATGTTAAATATGAACTAAGCACATAAGTGACCTGCTAATTTTACTTGCAGTATTTGTTCAGGAGAAAACTACGTCGTATCCTTGGACTTTGAATATCCACCAGTTTTTTCTGGACTAAATAACTTTAATTCCAGAAGCTTCCAGGAGTTTGGTATGCATGTGTGTATACAGAATCTATGTGTGTGTGTTTAGACAGATACAAGACTGTGACTTGTGATTTGAAAAACTGGTTGTCCATGTATAGAGTTTCCATCAAATCATGCAACTTTGCCACATCATGTTTGTTGTGGTGATTATCTGTAGCTTGCCAGAATTTGCTCTTAGAATGATGTAGAAAAAAAGTTAGGAATGCATTTGAGTGTTTAAATTTAATAGTAATTCTAGAGTTTCCATGACTCCCAATAGTCACTTTCTGGTTGGTCTCAATGACGTAGTCATAAATTCAAATGTTCCAGTGTCATTCTAGAGAAGTTATTGATCAGTGTTAATCAAGGAGCATTTTAAAATCTGATGAAATTGAGCTCTATTCCCAGGTAATATGAACTGAAGCTCACACTAGATTTTTTTTGCAAGTTCAAGATTTCAAAGATCCCTGAGGTATCTCATAGACTCCATTCAAGTTAAGAGATCCAGTTGCATTTAATTGGTTTTATTGTGTAAGAAAGAAAATGGTAAATGTGTCACAAATGTAAAATATAAGTAGAGAAGAAAAAAGGAGCTGAATCTGGGAAAATCATTATTTTCTCTTGACTGAAGGCAGATAATTGGCTGAAGGAGAGTTTAAAGTAGTCATCTGGTTTCAGCAAAATCTGTAAAAAAAATAAGGGCAGTTTAGAAATTTAGTTCACAGCGTGTTAACAGTTCACCTGTTATTTCAACTTTTAACTTCCATGAGTTTTCTCGTCTGTCTGTATCCAAGAAATTTACTTAAATACTTAAGTTTCAATTTTAAAATTGGCATGTCATATACTAAAATAATAGACTTTGCCTGATATTTTCAGAAACATTGTCTTTTACATGCTTTTTAAAAATGCGATATTGTACAGTGGTTTTAACTTAGAAATCTAGGTTCATGAGTTTTGAATAAATGTAATTATTGAAGTAATGATTACTCTGAGCCAGTCAGTAGTGGCATTGAAATCCACATGGCTGACTACATGGTTTGAATCCTGGAACCAGCAGGTTGAAAAGGTGGTTTGCATGTGAGCCCAAAATCCCACAAGGATAAATGGAAGAGAAGGAATTGTAGCATGACTGCCTCACGATAGGTGCTTTCTCATTATCTGTCTTGCTCTGCCTTCCTTTGCCGAGAGCACACACTATCTAGCAAATTCTTAAAAAATAAAAAAATGATTATTAAAGACACAATCTTGTAATACAATATTTTGGACATACTAAACCACTTGTGTTCATATTATTTCTATTAATTTTTTTGTTTTATTTTCTAAAGTTTGGTAAGTCAAGTATTTATCCAGCTTATTATATTTTTCTTAATAAATGTCCATTTAAATAACAACTAAATAACATAACTTATGCATATTCCAGTCTAAGGAAATCACAGTATTTTCTCTGTTTTTCTACTAATTTGACAGGACATATGAAAATAGGTGGCATGAAGTCTTGCTGTCTGAAATCAGACAAATTTGGTTTGATTTCCATTTTGCACTTTCTAGATGGGACAACTTATTTAAAATATTCAAGAATACTCTTTTTTTCATTCCTAAATTTGAGAAATTAATAAAATCCGTGTCATATGGTTTCTATAAAAATCAACTGACATCTTTATATAAAGTTTTATCATTAAATAAAGAAAAGTATTGGGTAAAAATAAATTTTGGCATTTATTAATTTTACATTACATTTTCTTATATATTATGTTTTATAGATTGATCAGTTTTTTATATTTTTCACTTATACATTCTTACTTGAGCCTCATACTAAATTAAATGATAAGAAAGTGAAAATTTCTTTACTTTCTTTACAGCCTTCTCTGGTTTAATGCTAGTACAGACAATTGTGAGGTATTTTAGATATTAAAACACGAAGACAGTGTGATGGGCTGAAAGTATTTGTTGAAAAGAAACCCCAAATTTTGTAACTCTCTTTCCAAATTATTTCACTCTGATTTCCTATTTTTGTTAATTTTTCTCTTCATTTAACATCTTCTCATAAGTTTCAAACTATTTTAGACTCCACCATTACCAATCATAGATTTTTATTTATTATTTGGTTCAATTGTATCACATTCAATGGTCTAAATTATTTTTTCTTTTACTTTGCTGTAGAGTATGCACATTTGCTGAAGAGATACAGAGTAAGATAGAAAACAAGAAAGCATCCCTTAGGGATGATGGCCACACTGTAATCCCTTCTCTTCCATTCTCCTCTCAGGATTTTGGGTACGCACGTACACATGCCAGGTGTGATCTTCAAGCCTCCAGATGTGGGCTTTGAACCGTGGTTTGCCATGTAGGAGTTCAGCACCTCAACAACTATGCCACCTGCTGGCCATGAAAATTCATTTTTGAGATAAGAAAAATTATAATGGTTTACATTTACATAATATTTTACTATATTGTTATACTTTGTGTGTAAATAGGGATGAAATAAAACTAAGTTTCTAGAATGTTCTAATTTTCAGAACAAAAGTTAGATAATGAAATTCCCAATTTCTTCATTTTGCAAAATAAAACTTAAAATTTCTTATTGGAACAGAATCTAGTGTATCAATGCTATGATTTTACTAAATTAAAATTATAGTCTACATGGCCTGCTCCCATAAAACCATTTATATGTTTGTACTATTTTAGAAGTTAGGATTACATCAATAAATCTAAGCTTTTTGTCTGGATAATTCATTTTTATCTTTTGATTATTTACCTGTTTTGTCTTCTTTGTTATTTCTTCATTATTTTTATGCTGTGGGTGAAGAAACTGGGACTGTGGTAGTCTCAGGGGTGTTTTTAATGATGAACTCTGAGGAAGTTTCTGGAGTGACTACTGGAGTATTCACCATTGGTTCAATGTTAGGAATTGGTGTGGGCTCAACAGAAGCAATGGTATTGATGGTAGGAGTGTTTGTTTTAGTTGGAATTTTCTTTAGGGACATGCCCTTTAATTGTGGATGTGAGGTTGGGTAATGTACCATGGGAGGTAGGTAGATATATGGCATCTGTGTCCAATGAGGAATGTGGGCCAATGATCTAAAAACGACTGGATTTTTGTAAACTTTGTGAGACATATATGGATTATTCATTGACATAACTGGATAATATGGATAGTAACTGGGTTTAAAAGCAGGATAGCTATTCAGCACTAAAGGAAGTAGGGTATATGGCATTGTTTTCTGATCAAACAATCTTGCATCATTCTCAGGGCACTGCAAAAAGAATAAATTAGGCAGAATGGTATTATTGTGACTGAAATGTAAATCAGCATTTTTTGAAGTAATATAGTATGTGAGCTTGCATAAATGCAATATTGGAAATCAGGAACCCAGAAACCAAATTATTTTACAAATATGGATTTATACATTTCCCTTCTACTTCATAATTTCTGATATTATAAAATATTACTTTTAATTACATAAAAGTAATATTTCTTTCAAATTAATTGGATGAGGTAATCCATATGTAAACCACATGATCCAGAGCTTGACATTTATGGAAAATGTTCAGTAAATGTTAAGTAATGTAAGAACAACACCTAAAAAAAAAGAGGTAATGTCATGTGGGAAGATTTCTGATTTCAGATTTTTTTTTCCAGTTTATTTTTCTCCACAAAAGACTAGGTAGGGAATTTTCTATTTTTATTTGCCTCTGTTCAACTAATTATGTGTAGTCATATAAATCAGTAGACCTTTCCATATGAAAAGAAATAAATCAACAAAATTGTACTAGAAAGCAGACATTTCTCATAAAAGGAGACATATTTCTATTTATTCAAAGATATTTGGGAAATAAAGGAGTAAGTAAATACACATGCATAAGAACTATGCAACTGCTGAGGGGCTTTTCTCACTTTCTAAGTATAAATGAACACCAAAGTACAAGACTTGGGCTACTTATCAAAACCAAGATTTTCAGAAAATCATTAAAGTTGACTAATCTGTTGCTAAAGTTATTTTTTTGTATGTCTGTTTTGCAAAGATTACTCTATTATTCTATGGAGATTATATTTTTATTTAGTTTTTATATAGGAAACATTTTAATATGATTAACCTTTGCAGAGTCTTATATTTTAGAGTTCATATCTCTAATAAAAACAATTAAAATAAACTTACTGCTGCTTGTTCCTGTTTTGGCACTTCTGCAGCCTAGTTTGTTCCAGAGAAAGAAATAATAAGAAATGAGAGAAAAGCAAGGCCAACATTTTTTTGTGTGTGTGAGGAAAGGAGTTACAATATATTTTGTGTTTAAAAGAAACTAAGTTTTTTTTGTATTCATTTTAATATTGTAAAACATTTTTTCATAATTGTTTAATTGATTAGTTCTAAGAAGCACTTAAGAAGCAACAGTAATATAATGAGTAAAATAGTAAGAATGAATTTCTTATTTAAATTTTCTTCTAGAATCAAAACCTAGGAAGAAAAATACACTATTAAAATAATCTGATCATCTGATCCCTGTGTCAAAAAATATACAGATTTGCTAAAGTGAAAATATGAATAATCTATATTCAGTATGTACTGGATATACATTGTTAAAAATCAGAGGAGCATTGAGTTTTTTAGTTCTTACACAAGGATAATTTGAAGAAGTTTACTTAGAAGATTTAACATACTGCTTCTTGCATAACCTTAATATATTAATAAAAGTGTTTTATAATCTTCCTCCATTTGTTTTTTGTAGTACTTAATTCTGCATACAATGTTCATAGGGAATTAGAGTTACCAAACAATTGTTATAGTCATGTATAAGTAAACTTTTAAAAACTCACAAAGATTTTATAAACTTTTTTTTTTTTTTGTAGAGGTTTTTGCTATAGGGCACGTGCACTCACCAGACAGACAGATAGAGAGACAGAGAGACAGAAAGCGAGAAATCACCCCCCAGGGAGGATGGTCACGCCGCAATCCCTTCTCCTCCATTCTCCTCTTGGGATCTTGGGCACGCACGCACACGCGCCCGGCGTGAGTTTTAAGCCACTGGGTCCAGGACCCAAAACGCAGTCGACTACATGGGAGTCCAGCGACATAGCCATTACGCTAACTGCTGGTCCCAAGATTTTATAAATTTTTTATATGATATTATAATATTAAATAGTTTTGCATTGGCAGTTTTAATTTAGGATATTTCACATATATCCCTTGGCTATAAAATGACTCTGGAAAGCTTATGGAAGGTATAGGTATAAATTATCAGAAATTTGAAAAAGCAATAAAATTCAGAGTGTGTTGAGAAAAAGCTTGTTTTTCCTGAAATATATTACATCATTAGTTAAAATTTTTTAAAGAATTATTTTATTTAACTTTACTTATTTATTATTTTTTAAATTTGGTCAGAGAGGGACAGAGTGAGAGACAAAGAGAAAGAGAGAAAGTTAAATCTCCAGGTTTAGGACTTGAACCATGATCGCCATGTGGGAATTCAGTGCCCTTAACCACCAAGCCACCTGCCGGTCCCCCATTAGTTTAAAATTTTAAAAAGTAACATGAATATTGTAGAAAGTTTATTTCCTCTAAAAATTTTGATAATCGTGACATCTTAATACCATATCATCTTATATTGTATATTTTTGTTTTAGAGTTCTATAAAAAATCCTGCTTTTTTTTTTTCAAGAAACATGGTATCTCTTTGACAAACTTTTGGTTTATTTCATAGTTTTCATACTTATGTTTTTTTTTTTTTTGAGAGGTTTTCGCTATAGGGCGCGTGCGCTCGCCAGACAGACAGAGAGAGACAGAGAGGCAGAAAGCAAGAAATCACTCCCCAGGGGGGATGGTCACGCCCCAATCCCTTCTCCTCCATTCTCCTGTTGGGATCTTGGGCACGCACGCACACGCGCCCGGCGTGAGTTTTAAGCCATCGGGTCCGGGACGTGAACCGCGGTCGACTATGTGGGAGTCCAGCGACATAGCCATTATGCTAACTGCTGGTTCCCCATACTTATGTTTTTATAGTTAAAAAATTAGTGCTTTATGATCACATCATGAAATGTTGATTCTTAATTGCCCACTGAAAGAATTTTTAAAATTCTTTTTCATTTCTTACATGCTCGAGATACAGAAATAGAGAGAGAGAGAGAGAGAGAGAGAGAGAGAGAGAGAAAGGCACCCCAACAGGGACTTCATATTGCCATCTACACACTGCCTCAGCCAATCTGAATTGTGGGCACATGCATGTACCCAATGTGTGCAGGGAGGTCTCAGGACATAAACTGAGGAACTTCCATGTGAGCCCAGTGGTGTCATGGCTGTGCCACTCTCTGGACCTATCAGAATATAATTTTAATTGTAAATTAGACAGATGAATATCATCTTATGTACTGGATTCCTTTAGGTAATTTTTCAAAAATGTGATTTTTCTAAGAAACAAAAATTCTTTGACAGGGGTTATCAAATTTGGTACTGAAAATCTATGCCAGCGACCAGACAGAGATGATCTACAGTAAAATGCAACACTCTCTGAGGCAATCTACATGGGAAAGGTCCTCGTTCAAATGCAGAGACTTTTCTGAGTACACTGGTCACTCAGTTGCTCATGATCTAGAGTTGACTGAAGGCAGGGGGAGGATTGTGTCTTCATGATCACATTGGAGGTGCCCTCTCTCGCTCCCTCTTCCTCTCCCCCATCCATCTCTTTCTTCATGGAAGAAATAAATAAATAACTGAAAAAAAAGTTGTGCCAATTTATGTCCCTAGTAGGCTATGAGATTGAACAGTTTATCACCTAATTGCTAATAATAAATATTATATGCACTGTTTTTATTTGGAAAGGAAAAGATATGTTAGCACATAAAAGATAGTATCATGCTGTATTTTAATTTGTATAATTTTGATTACTCATAAAATTAAACAGTCAAATCTATAAACTTTAATTTTCCTTTTGAATTATTTATTCATGGCCTTGAGGCTTGAAGCTTTTGTGAAAATGGTAAGAAGCACTTTGAGATAAAGTAGGGTCAAGCAGCACAAGAAGAGATTGCTGAAAAAGCAGTCAGTTGTGGGCTATTCTATGACTTAAACTTTAATCCCTATTAAAGAGAAGACATAAGTTTTAAAATTTCAGGTTTCTGAAAAATGTGTAGTTTCAGAGGATAAATAAAAGGAAACAATGTGGAAGTCATCATAATTAACATGTTAAAAAGTAATTTTGACTCCAAGAAGTTAGATATTAATTTAAAAGCAGGTTAGATATTAACTAGCCCAGAAATAAGTGAATCATGAAATAAGGAATAGTGCTCTCTGAAATTTTACAATCTAAGAGTAGCATATACCATTCTCTATGTTTTCCTTCTGTTCTTGCTGTTGGCTAATACAGTGCCTGCAATCCCCAGGTGAATACGAAAATAAACAAACAGCAAAAGACAAAACAACAATAAAAACAAATAAAATTAAAAAAGTTAAAACCTTTCCCTGGCCCAGTAGTCTTAGAACAGAGCTTGTAATTTGAGACAATGCCTACAAGCCTTAGATCTGTTAAGAACTCCCTAGAAAGGAGTCAGTGAGCTGACAGAATGGAGAGTATGAAAAAAAAATAAGATAATGATCTGAACTTAAAGGCGGAAATGTCAAGGTCTTTAAAACTGGTCAAAAGCTTAACCAAGCTCCTGATCTTTGATGATTTAGACCCTAAAGAGATAGAAGTCAGGCTAAGATAGGAATTGAATGAAAAGAATCTGAGTCTGGACTGTGATTTCTATATTTATTTTTAATAAATTATCTTTAGAGAATCTTCTGTTTTTAAAATATTTTCCGTATTTTCTCCAAGAAAGTATTTTCACTAAAGTATGAGAATTTATATAGATACACACATGCACACGCACACACACACACACACACACACAATAAGGTGTGATTTCATAATTTATGGGAACTAAATAAATATCTTGGAAAACATTAGTATTTTAATAGAAATAAACATGAAAATAAATTTACTTTTACTAAATCATAGCTAGTATACAGCTATTTAGTTTTATAAATTGTTTTTAGAAATTTTTATAATTATAGATCTTAAATAAAACTTTCTTAAAGTCTTAATGTAAATTATTTAGATGAAGTTAACTCACCAAACAAGGCAAGGTTAATGCTAGGATATTCACAACTAGAAGAAAACTCTTCATTCTTGCACCTAAAGATAAATATAAAAAATTAAATTAAAAGGATCAGTTACTAAAAGTTTAGGAGTGATTTAGATACAATGTTTGCTTTGTTTGAAGGGGAAAAAAACCAGAATTATGGGTACATGTCAATGTGGAAGATCTATTTTATCAAAAGTATTAGGAAAACCAAACTTTGAGGAAAAAAAAATTAAATGTAATTTTTGACCAGTGTTAATGAAAGGATCATTACAAGTTCAATAATCTATTGTATGAATATTGTATGAGAATGGAAACAAAGTTTACAGAAGAAAAAGTAGAGACCTGGGGTCAGCAGGTGGCATGGTGGTTAAGGCTGCTGTACTCCCACAGGGCCGACTGTGATTTGAGTTCCATACCTGGTGGCTTGCTTTTGCTCTCTCTCTCTCTTGCTCTCTTTCTCTCTGCTTCTCTCTGGTCAAGTTAAAATAAATAAATAAATAAATAAATAAATAAATAAATAAAGGGGTTGCTTATTTATATAAATAAATAATTCTTAAGTAAAATAATTCTTAAAAATGTAGAGGCTTTAAAAGCTAGGTTAAAGAGTTAGGCATTGTTTTGTAAACAGCAGAAAACAATTGTTTTTGGACTAGAGATTGACGTGACTGTATATTCCTCTGGAGGACTGAATTCTAGTCCAGGTTTTTTTCCTATCTACCTAACTGTGGTTAAATAATTTCAATCTCTACTTCCTACATATTTTGCCTGTAAAATGAGAGTTTGAACTGAGTGACCTCTAGTAATAAAATTCTGTCATCAGTCTAACAGAAATATATAGGATGGAATGGGAAGTGGAGGGTTATGAAATTGCATCCTTAGTAATCTACTTCTCCATTAATCACAAATGAGATGATTAACTTGATTGCTTTAAAAGGAACATATCACAATTACAGTGGCTTTGACTAAAATATTTAAAGAACTAGATTAGCCTTGTTTTTCTAGAAGAGTAGTTAGGGTCCCAACTGCTTATTTGATTTTTAATAAATTTCTTTCTAGAAAATAATAAATGATACCTCAAATGTTTTTTAAGAGAGATTTTGCTATAGGACGTGTGCATGACAGAGAGAGACACAGAGACAGAAAACAAGAAATAAGTCCCCAGGGGTGATGGCCATGCCACAATCCCTTGTCCTCCATTCTCCTCTCAGAATTTTGAACATGCACACACATATGCCCAGAGTGTTTTAAGTTGCCAGGTCCAGGACTCAACCTGTAGTTGACTACATGGGAGTCCAGCAACATGACTACTATGTCATCTGCTGGTCTCAATACATCAAACTTTTAATGTTGAAAAACATATTGCATTTGTGAAGTAAATACTAATATAACAGAATTTTAGTAATTTATTTCTTTGTAGTATAAATAGAAATCACTGAGATAAGACTATATATATTTTTTTTAAAAAAAAATTTTTTTTGGAGAGATTTTTTTGTTATAGGGCGCATGCGCTCGCCAGAAAGCCAGAAAGAAACAGGGTCAGAAAGCGAGAAATCACCCCCCAGGGATGATGGCCACGCCGCAATCCCTTCTTCTCCAGTCTCCTCTCGGGATCTTGGGCACACATACACATGCGTCCAGTGTGAGTTTAAGCCACCAGATCTGGGACTGAAACTGTGGTTGACTACATGGGAGTTCAGCGACACAGCCATTACGCCAACTGCTGGTCCTGATGAGACTATCTTTTACATATAGGTAAAGTAGACCAATAAGTGCTTACATTTGCCCTCATTACTTAGTAAGAAGAAATATCAATAATTTGTGAAATGGTAGACTGCTCAGTTCTTATGTTTTAAAACAATAATCATACCATAAAAGATAATATGACTTTAGGTAGAAATAAAATTCAGAAGTAATAAATGGATTAATTTGAATTATTTTTTTGGGTCCAACTTCCTGAGAAGCAGACCTTCTTCATAAATAAATTTGATTTTAACACCATTCAGAATCTAAGGGTTAGATTGGAAATTAATATTAAAACAATGCTAAGATATTTTCAGGCTTAACAATAAAGGTTAAAAAGAAGAAAATGTGATTCTAAAATAACTTTGGTCATGTCCCAGTTACTGTGAGAACAAATCACTGTCTTTGGGCTTTTTAATACTATTACCTTTCCTCGAGCCTGTCAGGTCTTCCTTGCCAGTAGGTTGAGTTGGCCTCTTCACAGTAGAGAAGACCCAAGATAAATAACTGAAGACTAATTAAAGGGTATTAGTACCTTGAGTCACGCTATTCTATTCCCTCCTACTTTTTACCCAATAGGATGATGACAAAAAGGAAGGATTTGATGACAACAGGGTCATTGTTAGGTCAATCTGAGAGAAATGCAGAGAGAAATTAAAGCTGTCATTCATAAAGCATGAAAAAAGACGATTTAGGTCTTTTTAAAGAAAGAATCTTTTATGTTTAAAACGATAAAATTTAGAATTTAAAAATATTAATTGCATTCTTCAACTAATCTTACTTATTTTAATTTAAAGCTATTGTTAAAATACTTTAAGATCCCAGATTTCAAGTGGTCCTCTATCTAATATGGCCTGTGGTTGGTCTTTTTCCTTCCAGAATTATAAGTATTAATTTTTAAAAATTAGAAATCTGGCTATCTCTTATATACTCAGGCATGCATAAATCAACATTGTAATACATATACAGTGGGAGCCATCTGCATTTGACACAGCATAAATTCTTTAGTAAATTCTGGTATAAACATTAAGTACATGTTGAAGGCGAACGTCTTATGAATGAACTTTTCTTACGTTTAAAAAGTTCAATTATAAATAGGTGAACTATTTAAAATGCATAATTATTGCACTAATGATAATAATTCTGTATCAAGGACAGTTCATTCTGACTTACTAGTATATACTGATAAACTGTTGATATAGTGAATATATCAGTAAAATACAGCTAAGTAAATAATTGCCTAGGGAAATATATATTTTATATTTATTATTTTTTGCTTGCAATTCTCTGGAAATAATTCTGTGACTTGACTTTGGCTGTGAAGACCTGGCCATACTGAGTTATTTACAGGAACCAATGTAGGTCTGCCAGAATATGAACAAGGAATAATACTAGCATTGTTATTTCTGTTTCTTGGAACTAATTGAGGTGTCAGAAAATTAGGAAAGATGTTCTGAGCTCTAGAACACTTACTCAGCTTGAACAGAGTAAGTGGAGATTTTTTATTTCTCAGAATAGTTGGTTTTTGTTGTTCAAGGAGAGAGTGCAGAGTTTCAAAACTGCTGAAACTAGCAACTAAAGTAGAAGTAAATTGGTAACCAAGGCAGGCAAACATCCCTGCCCTTGTGGAGTTCATGTATCTAACACATACTTCGATAGCAATGACATTGGGTATTTACCATGATCTAAGGCAAATTAAGAGAGCTAAGAGTATTAATGGTTTTAGTAGGCAAACCAGATGAACAATTTACAGGAACTATCCAAATGCTTTAGTGTTCTCTAAAGAAAAGCAAAAAGAAGATCAAAACTCCCATTATCTGAAATCTTCCAGTAAACTAGGTTGTATTTGTACTCCGGAACTAATGCAACAGCCTTGTCCCAGTCACATATTCATTTCAAGAGCCAAGACTTGCTCCTGAAACATCCCTAGATTATGGAAGAAAACCAGCAGAGTTTCTCAGGCAAATCACAACTTCTTTTCGTTTAGATCCAGATCATCACTGTGTGTTCATAGGAGTACTCATACTATGGGACTGGTGAGAAGCTATTCTGGGCTCAAAATTTCACATTTCAAGCACTGTAAAAACAAAACAAAACAAAACAAAAAATAAGTTAAATGATTATTGACTCCCATGTACTCTTTAACTGGTAACAATTATTATTATGTTAGTGTTTGTTTTGTTTAGGACTAGACAAAAGCTACTCTAGAGATATAAGTTCACATTTCAAGTCTTATAAATCATGTGCTAAGTGAAATGATTATTGATTCATGTGCACTCCTTAACTAGTAACAATCTCTGTTATTCTGTTAATTACATCTAGCAAGTACTCTATTTTCTATCCCTGTGATGGCAGACACATTCATGTAGTTTCATTTGCTTTTGTTTTTATTTATTTATTTATATTTTGCCATGAGGTATGTGTGCTTGCTTGCTAAAGAGAGACAAAGAGAGGGAAAGCAAGAAATCACCTCCCAGGAAGGATGGTCATACCACAGTCGCTTCTCTATTCTGCTCTTGGGATTTGGGACATGCATGCATGTGTGCCCAGAGTGATTTTCAAGCGCTGGGTCCCAGACTTGAACTGTGGTCATGTGAGAGTTTAGTGCCTTAAGCATCAAGCCATCAACTGACTCCATGTAGTTTCATTTTTTTGTGCCTTATATTGTTCAGCCACTTTATTAGTAGTAGGCAGATCTCAATAGTCTATCGTGTTCTTGATGTACAATGATTATGATAGCAGTTGCAATGTAAGTGACTAACAGCTTTTAATGGGAGTAGTTATTGAGGCATCGTAGAATTGATACTTTAGCATAGACATTATGTGCTTCAAAAATCTTTGCTATATGTGAAAACCATGAAAAAATAGCATAAAATGCTTCTAAACAATTTTCAACACTGTATCAAAATTATCCCTTCCTATAGCCAGTTCAGCTAAGTGAACAACACATAGAGTTCTTATTATAATAGTAGACAGCCATGATCTCTGCTTACAGAGAACATCTGAAGAGAGAGTGCTCTCTCCTGAACACTTGTAGGGAGACTGTTTTGAGATTGTGAATAGATATGTGATGTCATAGAGACCAGAATGAGTGTCATTATGACTTTAGCATTAGTTCACACATAAATGCATGCATTAGTAATTGTTATGGTCCCAGAGTTTCTATGGACACATTTTTTTTAAAAAAAGATTAATGATATAAAGAAAGTGTTCAATTTCCCTGAAGCATTATTTCTCTAATACGATTGTAAGACCCTCTGTAGCCCTGTACTATATTTATTCCTTTAAGTCTTCTTATCATATCATTCAAAACACATCAGTGAGTATCTTCAAGTAGCCAAATTCAGTGCTAATGTATAGAACCTCTTCTTACTGAATCTTTTAGCAGCCTTTTCATGGCAATTAATCTTCTTGACTTGTAATTTTTTTGTTTGTTTTTCTTCCCAAATCATTGGTTGCTCCTAATTTTTTTTTTTCTCACACTCTTTAAGTTTTGGAGAGTTTTCAAGAACTCTTTCAGAATACACCAGCCTTCTACCTTTTCTCTGGCCACCTTTATTATCATTCTAATTGACCTACCCATTCCTATAGCCTTCAATACTATCAATATGCTGTGGCTTTTATTGAATGCAGATTCAGATATCCAATAACTATTTTAGTATCTCCATTTGCATGTGAAATAGATAACCCAAAATTTTCATAAACAGAATATCTGGTCTCTAAATATGTCCATTCCTTCAACTAGTCCTCTAATAGTCTCTTAGTCTCTTTTGTTTTTCTTTCTTTTTTAGAGAGAGACTTTTGCTATAGGACATGTTTGTTTGAAATGGGGAGACAGAAAGTGAGAAATCATCCCCCAGCAGGATGGCCACAGTGCAATCCCTTCTCCATTCTCCTCCCAGTATTTTGACTTTGTATGCACATGCACCCAGAGTGAGTTTCAAGCCACTGGGTCCAGGACTCAAACCTTAGGAGTCCAGCAATGTAACCATTATGCCATCTGCCAGTCATCTTTTCTTTTTATTTTAAAGCATGGTAAGAAAATATTTTTTTAGGACTTTAATTTAGAGTCCACTGAAGTAGGGTTTTTTTTTTGCAGTGGGGAAGAGAATTAGGGCTCAATTCAAAATACAGAGTTGATAGTAAAATTAACAGCAAAGAAGCAGTGCAGGGGAGAGCAGGTGGGAAATGACTTACAGGAAACATCAGGGACATGAAAGAGTCTGGGTAAACTGAATGAACAGGATTCTTGCTGAAGGCAGGCAAGGTGATCAGATATCATCTTCATATTTGTTTCCTCCTCTTGACAATCCATTAGAAGAATAAGCTGGATCTTAACAATACACCCTGAATGTGCCATCCCTTTCTGATCTTACTTTTTTTGCCCTAGTCCCAGCCAGTGGCATCGCACACCTGGAACATTCTGATAGTTCTCTTTCTGGCCTCTCGCCCTCCCCCTTACTCTTAGAAGAAATAAATAGTAAAGGAACTCTTTTAAAATATTTCTTGGAGGGACCAGCAGTTAGCGTAATGACTATGTCGCTGGACTCCCACGTAGTCGACCGAGGTTCGAGTCCTGGACCTGGTGGCTTAAACTCACGCTGGACATGTGATTGTAAAGGAAAATGGAAGTTTGGTTGAAAGATGTATTGGGGAGGAGAAGGTTCCACATGGCTCCAGTGAACTAGATTTTTAAGGGAATGAAGATTTTCTACTAATAATTCAGCCTCCAACAAACGAGTTAGCAGCAGAAGAAGCCGGGCCTTCAGGAGAAGGTTCCACATGGCTCCAGTGAACTAGATTTTTAAGGGAATGAAGATTTTCTACTAATAATTCAGCCTCCA